CAGCGTAATATAAGAGTAAACAAGGACTGCTATTTTATTAAGAAAGCAAAGATTGTGTACACCCTCACTCAAATGACCGGTAAAGTAATGAAGCATGCTGAGCCCCGCTTGCATGAAAGGTCCAAGAACTGTTACAAGATGCTGAAGAATGTTATTAATCATATAAAAACCGTATTTTCTGATCTTAACAAGAAGATAAAGTATAAACTTAAGAATCTGAATTATATTTCTATAACTAGTTATATAAGTATCTTACAGACTTTAGTATTCTTATATAGAATATTAAGATTAATGATAAGGACTATAAAAAATATCTATTTAACTTATTAAATAACTAATTACAGAATACTGTTACTATTTACTATTATAATAATCTTATAGAGTATGATAAGTTTATAAAGTATTTGTTACGGACCCCTACTAGTTGAAGCTACTAGTAAGGCGGACTCGTTAGGCAGAAGGCAACGTCCGGACAGGCAGCAACTCTTATCGAGTAGAATCCTGATCTGAGTAACCGACACCCGGAACAGCTACGCATTACATGACTACGGGTATATGGGATGGTATACAAACGAGTATATAGTATATGATATATAGTATACAGGAAGGTATATAACTTAGTATACAAAGACTGGAATATATAAGAACACTCTTTCCTGTATTTAGCTAGTTCTGTTCTTCATGCTTAATAACACTGTCTTTAAATAACCATATATTTAGAAAGCTTAATAATAATACTTATCTATACTCACTTACAGATAGCTGCGCGGCACTATTTAGCCTTACTTCTCTTCTCTTGTTCAAGACTAGTCCTTTCTAGATAGTCATCAGTCTGATACATCCTCAATTTAGTTCAAAGGTATATATACCAGTGAAGCTAAGCTAATAGGAACAAGGAAGCGATCCTAGGGTTTAATACATTAAGCACCAGCCAGTATAAGTGTTACTAAGTAATAACTATCCATTATATTAACAGTTTCGAACTTATCGCGTGCCCCACAGCAGCAGGGCCTGACAACACAAAAACTGATAGGTATGATTAGTCAGTTACAAGAAAGCATCACTGTCTTAGAGTAATGGAACCAGCTACTCAAAGATCGCTTGGTAGTCAAGTCTGTCAAGGTCCAACCATTGGAACCATTTGACAGCAACTGAGCGAAGCTCAGGGCTTTCTTGACCCAGTTAGACTTGTACCTCAACATGAACAGAGAGAAGCTTAGAAATAAGGTTAATAAGATCTTTTTTATATCCATCTACCTGACTGGAACAGTATTTAATTAGTTTAAGCTATATATCTATAAATACTAGGAAAAGTTAGTAGATAATCAGAACAATGCTACTAAACAAATCTTTACTAATTATATTAGATTCAAGCAATATCTTGAACAGATATTTAAAGATATTAACGCAGCATGTAACACTGAATAAAAGTTATAATAACTCAGATAGACTAGATCAGTATCTAAGTATACTTCTGAATTCTTACAAGTTATCAGTCACCTGGATTGGGACGACGATACCTATATTACATAATTTAAAGAAGAACTCAAGATAGAGATTTAAAAGAAACTTATCTGGTAAAAATAACTGAACATGTTACTACAGATAATCATAACAGTAATTAGGTTGATAATAGGTTATATAAATATAACATAAAATAGAAAGAAGACTGATAGACTAATGAGTCTATGCCTTAACAAAATAACTAACCAGGTTACCAAGCTAACAACAGAAGTGTTACGGACCCCTGCTAGCTGAACGAACTAGTGAGGCGGACGCATCAGGCAGAAGGCCACGTCCGGAAAAGCAAGGACTCTTATCGAGTGAAATCCTGATCTGAGCAACCGATGACCGGAACGGTTACACAGCACGTGACCACAATGGACATGTCACCGACACAATATAACATGTCAGCGCTACGACGGGACATGGCAGTGACATGAAATAACATACCAGTGGCATGACATATCATGGCAACGCCATGACGAAGGATAGGATATAAGGACACTCTTTCATGTACTTAGCTAGTTCTGTTCTTCGTGCTCAATCCAATTGTCTTTAAGTAACCATACGTTTTGGTAAAGCTTAGCGACAACACTCGTCCGCACTTACTTACGGATAGCTGCGCGGCACTATCTGGCCTTACTTCTCTTCTCTTGTTCAGGACCAGTCACCTTTAGATAGTCATCAGTCTGACTTACCTCGATTCAGTTCGAAGGTACGTATTGGAACGGGAGCTAAGCTAACAGGAACAGGGAGAAGCGATCCTAGGGTTTGACAGCAACCTCTTTATACAGGGTTAAGTAATATTCAGCCTTATTATCAGCTTCTTTTTAATTATATATTAAAAGATATATATATATTTAGTCTTTCTAGCTTATTATAAAAATATTAATAAATAACGATTTATCCTTATAATAACTACATGATCAGACTAGTCTGTGCGCCTTTTAAGAAATAAACAGTAAGTACTATAATATTTAAGTAATATTATAATAAACTTGCTAAAACTAACTATAATATATACAGGCTCGGACTATAAATAAACAGAATATAATCATTATATATAAATCCTTTTTTTAAAGGCTGTTGCCTGTCTTATATAAGTAGTTAATACTATACTTTATTATTAATAATAGAAATACTTTATTATTATACTGGCATGATTATATTGAAGCTGCTATTAATCTAGATAGTTTTACTCAGAGACTTAAAATATATTTCTTAATATTTAATAAATTTTTATTATTTATTATAATATTAAAAACTAAATACTTTGGATATATATAATCTATTTTTTTTATTAAATCTTCTTTAACTAAGTCTACTGTCTGTTTTATAAAAATATATATTATTATTTAAAAATTAGTTTTAGATATAATAAGAATAATATTAATATCTATAATCCACAGTCTTTTAATATTCTAAACCTATAAGTAAAAGTCTATAATACTATTCTTCTCTCAGGGCAGCATGGCACATATACTTGTTACATAATATGTACTTTCCCTGGCAGACTTTATATAATCTTTGACTTTATCCAGAAATAGTGTCTGCAGATTATTGGACAGCTTTAATATATATTTTTAGCAGATTTTATATAATCTTTAACTTTATCTAGAGATGCTGTTTATAGATTATCAGATATATTATTATATTTATTACTGAGTTTCAACATGCAGGCAAGAGACTATAATAAAATAATTATATTAATAAATTATATATAATAGACTAATATCTTTAGATTAGCAGAATAACTTAGATAGTATGAGTTAATAACAGAAAGCTTAGTTAGATTAATAGATAAGATATAATATATATTATATAATAGTAAGTATAGTAAAAAGAAATAGATTATAATATAATTCTTGGAAAATTTATAATTAAGTTATTTAAGAATTAATACTGGAGTCTTTAAAATTTCTTTAAATAAGATAAATAAAATAATTATTTGTTATTTTACAAGGATCTTGCAGGATAAAATGAATAAAGATAATAAGATCTATATTTAATAAGTCTAATATAATAGTTACAAGGATAGTGGCAAGACCTTTAGAGCTGGTATCTGGTTTAGAGAAATTAGAAAAAGAGAGAAGAATAAAAGAATAATTATCTTTAATAATAAAAAGACTGAATTATTAGGTTTTATAATCTTTTCTAATTATTTTAAAAACTTTAGAGACTTGATATATGAGATTATCTTTAGTATTAATAAAGACTTAGACTTTAAAGATGATTTTTAGTAATAGATGGTCTTGGAGATTCTTACTAATATTAGTATTAGAGTATTAAATTTTTTTAGAATATCTGGTAAACCAATACCTCATAATTTAAGAACTTTAAATAAGTTAAAGATTTCTAACTAAGATAATGATTTTATAAAGTACTTTAATAGTAAATTTAGTATTATTCTTTATATATTTAGCATTGGTTGCAGTAATATTATCATTAAAAAGGGCTTTTTATTAATCAAGGTCTTATTTATTATATAGAGATTCGGACGTCCTTTTATAGATAGATAATATATATTAATTAAAAAACTATATATAGGATTGATAGCTGCTATATTAATATAATCTTTTAAACTATCTTCAGAAAATGGATTACTAGATATAGGATAGTCTAATTCTCTTATAAACTTAATCTAGATATTGATAAAAGATTATTAATTATATCTGAAAATAATGTCTGGAGAGAATTGTTAATATTATTTAATTTTGGATCTATATATTCTAGCCTAAGCTTCTTTATTTTTTTCTCGGACGAGAGTGTAAGTCTAATTTTTCAATAATAAAGGCTGAATATAGTCCAGTTCCAGCCTTTATTTTCTAAAGTATCTCAGATATTGACATTGACTTGAGAATTATCAATAAAAGCTATTTTATTTATAGTATTAATACTACTGAGTATCTGATTATAGGATAGGGAAACATATTGGCTGCTTAAAGATATCTAACAGATTGGTTAAGCTAAGTAAGGCTAAGGGTTAGATAGAAATATCTGGGGCACTGTGATAAATCACTAGTCAGAGTCTGTAATTACTAGAGCTGGCCATAATTCTAGAATATTTAAAGGTCCTTAGTCTAGTCCTGACCAGCTTTAAGAATAATAATCTAGAGATCAGGATTTTAGGATAGATAAGTAGCAAGCACAAGGCTAATAATATCTGTTTCAGTGACTGATATTATATACAGAATATTAAGCTTTTATTAAATCTGTAAATCCTGTAGAACTTGTATAATTATTATAATATTAACAAAAAAAGCATATAATAGAAGAGATTCGCTGGTGGTCACCCACCCAACTACTAACCTCCCAGCATGTGGCTTAAGTACGGCTGAACGGACGGGAAGCCTTGTTCTCCACACCCTGTGGTCGTATGTACCAGATGCAACATAGAAACGGATAATATAGAGCAAAATAGCATATACAAGGGTCCTTGACGGAACCTCACATACCTCCAAGTCTGTATTCTTCCTTCCCCAAAGCCGACTCCTGAGATGCGTTTCACACCGCCATTCCTCCACCTCCCAGTACGCGTTCAGTCGCGTCGAGTCACAATTTTCCGGTCATTTTCGCGATACAATCACAAGATAGCAAACAATAGAGCTGCCAAACCACTTGAAGAACAAACACTTCCCTTCTACCATCAAAAGCACTATTATCCTGCGCGAACCGGCGAGAAACTCAACGATCGCTACCGTATAATTTCCAAGCTTGGCTATGGGGCATATTCTACCGTTTGGCTTGGATGGGATGATAGGTAGCTCGCCTCCTTCCTCCCTCCCTAACTGACCCTGCTTACCTGTCCAGATTGAAGAGATATGCATCCTTAAAGATTTGCGTTAGGGATGACACGGAGCGGTCACCTGTTCTCAATGAAGTCGCAATGCTCCAACGTTTGGGAACATGTGCACAGGAAGCTGAGAATCCAGGGCTGGAGTTTACTCGCCTGGCTCAAGACATCTTCGAGATCCATACCTCTACCGGAACCCACCATTGCATTGTCACAAAGCCCCAGGGAGCAAGTATTCGCGTCTTACAAGAAGTATTCCCCAATGCGAAGTTACCAAAACTTCTCGTCAAGTCACTAATACACCGACTGTTTGTGTCGGTCAATTGGCTCCACGCTACGTGCGGTCTGATTCATACCGGTATTCTCCTGTGCACGCGTAGAGTTCTTTCTTGTCCACTGACTTCCAAACAGACATTTCCCCCCAGAATATACTAATGCAACTCGAAGACGACAGCAGCTTAAAAGATCTCGAAGAGCAAGAATCCCAAAACCCCAGCACCCCAATCATAAGCCAAGGAATACCTATCTACCACTCCCGACCACTCACTTTAGAATTATCCGGCATCCCCATCCTCACGGACTTTGGACAAATGCGACCATCAGAGCCTGCCAACTGCGACTGGTGGATGTCTGATCTGTATCGTGCGCCGGAAGTGCTCTTGCAGCTGCCGTGGAGCTTTCCCGTTGATATTTGGTCGATTGGTGTCATGGTGAGAACGCATCCGTATATAGTCCGTCCTTACTCATTGTATGACTAGACACTTGAGCTCCTGGAAGGGAGAAACCTTTTCGATCCTATTGATCCCACCAACGACCAGTATGTTCTTCCGCTGGCTTTGGCTCAATACATTGGTTATCTCGGTCCACCGCCGGTGGAAATTATACGGCAGAGTCCTCTGTTTTCGATGTTTTTTGATGATCAAGGTGCGCTATCTTTTCTGAGAATAGTCAGGAATGCAACTAATTGTTTGCAATAGGGAACTGGATATCCGATCCACCGATTCCGCAAACCTCCCTGGAAGACTTTGTGACGACAATCCCTCCAGGGAAGGAAAAGGAAGCGTTTCTGCGGTTTATTCGAAAGATATTGACCTGGGGCCCTGAGGTTAGAGCAACGTCGGTGGAAATTATTCCTGATGAATGGCTTATGAAGCCTTGGGAAGAGGAGTTTTAGGTATGCCACGTGATAACATAATATTCAACGAGGAATTTATCTATACTCTCAGTGTCAGTCGGAACGGTCTGAGGAATTCTGCAGATTATGGTTTTATCTGGGCCTTTCTCCACAACTGAGCATACTCACCAGTACGTGTGCTTCAAATACGATAACAGCTCCACTGCGTTATTTTGCAATAAGCTGGAGATTCGTGAATGCGCAACAACAGAAACTTGGTTCATCTACTCGGGAAAGCAGCGCTCTGATTGGGTGGACGGCTGCGGCCCCTTATTGGTCCGCTCGCATTACCTACTACGCGATTGGCCGCAGCTCCGCCCCGCATAGAACTACTATTTGAACACCTTCCATTCTAACATCATGCTGAGAAATCAATCAAACTAACTAAATGATTCATCCCAACATGACTGACAAATGATTATCCCGTCTGCGATATATAAACCTCCAGATAACCCCCCTTTTAACATCCTCACCATCACCACTCATTCACCATTTCATTACCACCACCATGCCCCTTTCCAAAACCCCCACTCAGCCCCTCAGCCCCTCAGCCCCAACGGCCCCCATCTCCCCCGCATCGGCATCGGCACCATGAGTCTCGGCGGCGCCTACAAGCAACAAAACACGCTGTCCGAAAAGCTCGCCTTCCTAACGCACGCCCACTCCATAGGCCAAACCTTCTGGGACACCGCGGACATCTACTTCTCCAGCGAAGCCGTAATCGGGGAATGGTTCAAGCAAACCGGCAAACGCGAGGACATTTTCCTGGCCACGAAATTCGGACTCTCCTTTGAGAACATGAAGCAGGAGATTCGGTCTGATCCGGAGTATGTGAGGTTTGCATGTGAGAGGAGTTTGGGTGTTTTGGGGACGGATTGGATTGATTTGTTTTATTGTCATCGGGTGGATGGGAAGACACCGGTTGAGAGGACGGTGGAGGCGATGGTGGAGTTGAAACGGTATGTGACTTATTTTTTTTTTTTTTTTTTTTTTTTTTTTTGCTTTGGGGGTTGAGACAAGGTGAGGGTTGTGATAGTGGCTAATCCTGTGGGGGTTGCAAAAGGGAAGGAAAAATCAAATATCTAGGTCTATCAGAGGTATCCGCCACAACCCTACGTCGAGCGCACGCTGTCCACCCCATCACCGCCGTACAGATGGAATACAGTCCCTTCTGTTTGGACATCGAGTACCCGCAGTCGGATTTACTGCGCACGTGTCGTGAGCTCGGTGTTGCCGTCGTGGCGTATAGTCCTATAGGTAGGGGGTTATTAACCGGTCAGTTCACATCCAGTACTGAATTGGGGGATGATGATTTCCGACGCATAATTCCTCGGTATTCGTCCGGGCTGGATAAGATTCTGGCTATCGTGCAGAGATTCAAGGCTATTGGGGAAAAGCATGAGTGTACCCCGGCGCAGGTGGCGTTGGGGTGGTTGCTCGCCCAGGGACCGGATATTTTCCCGATTCCCGGGACTCGGTCGGTGAAATATTTGGAGGAGAATGCGGCGGCGGTGGATGTGGTGTTGAGTGAGGAGGAGGTGGTGGAGATTAGAGAGTTGGTAGATATGGCGGGGTTTGAGGGGGAGAGGTATCCTGATGGGTGGGTGGGTTGGAGTTGGGGTTGGGTTGAGTGGATATTGGCTGACGAGGTGTTTAGGATGACGATTCTTCCGGATACGCCGGAGTTATAAGGGATTATTTGATAGTTGATTGATTGTTGGTGTTGGATAATGGGGGAGGGGGTGGTGGTATTGGCATACATGACTGGTTATCATTTCATCAACGAACGCATGATAGATTTTCAGGGTAAATCCAATTCTATGAAAATACAGAGCTGGTTTCTCGTTGTCCTCACACGGTATCAAAGCCTCGATTCATATGTCAGCTATCTAAACACCACCTGGCTTCCCCCGCAAAATCCAGCGGTTGCTCTCAATCTGCTCTGTTTCGCTCATGTATGCTTTGTCTTTTAGCAACGACTAGTTTCTGTGGGTCAGTTCTTCAACAGATATATTTCTCTTCCTCTTATATCGATGTCTTAGCTTCTCATTAGGTGGTTTTCTTATCAGGACATGAGAGTAATCATAGACCTTCTTACTCTGCCAGCGCCAATCACCCTCCTTTCCTCTCACCCAGGTCCGACATCAATCCATTTGGTAATGATCAAACCAGTCCCTTCAGACGTGGTAGTCACAGTTTAGATCTGAAATTCCATATAGCAGAGAGGACATGTGTACACCGGAGAGTCAAGACCCACCAATTTGCCGGAGGCAACCCTCAGGCGGAATGACCCAGCGTCTAGATTTTGTCACTAGGCCGGCAATGACAACACAGATGCCAGCCCCGTACACTTCTCCAGGAGGTCTCATGTGAGCCTAGGATCCAGATTTGCAGGCGAAAACACAGACTTGGTCCCGGAACTACCAGGGCGTCAATTGACTGTAGTAAGTATAGCCCATCTCGGTCTAACCACGATACGTCAGGGAGTATCTCAACAAATGCGACCGAGTCTGCCGATAGGTCATATTGCGGTCCAAAATAATGTCTTTTCATGATTGATGCAACATCAACCCAGCTGATTTAATACCTGCTTTGGAGCTTGTTATCTGCGATCGGCCACCACACAATGGCGCACCGATTGCAATTTCGGGTAAGTCTGTTCGGTTTTGATGAACTGAGTGATGGTTTCTAATCGATGCAATATAACACAGTCATGGCATTAGGTGTAGTTAGGAAAATAGGGAGTTGCTAAGCATAATGATGGTGAAGGTCGCACAAGTTGGAAAGATGCAGATGAGATCACACAAGTTGGAAAGACGGAGTATAGGGCTCCTTATAAAACTCGATCAAATGTCAATAAGAATGATAATATCGCACTGTATACTTGGATATTACCGAGGCCTGTTTCTTTGAGTATCAAGGGTCTTCCTATGGTTTTTACGCTGTCTGGGGAAATATGAAGATAATTTGGTCTATCGGGTAGAATAGTGAGGAAGCTGGCAAGTCATACAAAGACATATACACCGCGATTTTTTTATCATGGCCAAAGCGCAAGAAGGAATGAGAAGCGAACGAAAGGCGTCTGATGCACCACCTTCCGACCAACAAAGGTAAGCGCCTTCTACGGATATTTCCCCACGTGACTTGCCTTAATAAAGCTAGCCCAAACGGAGAGTTCCCTCAGGTAATCCCTGGCTTCTATTTTTAACCCAGCGCTCCCATTCTCAAGTGTCGGTCATGTCATCTGGTCCTGATAATACTCGATCACACAACTTATTACTTTTTACTATCCCAATCTCAACCTCCAAGCAATCGTACATCAAAACTAAATTCCACTAAGCAACCGCCCCCACCCTGCTGCCTATGCCTATCCCCATCGCCCCACCTGCCCCTGCATAAATACCCCTCCACCCCACATACCTTTTTCCAACCACAATGATTACTTATGTACATCCATCACCATGGCCCGAACCAAACAAACCGCCCGCAAAAGCACACCCGGATGTGCACCCCACCGGCAACAAAGAACCGTCCACCAATATCCAGACCACACAGGCAAAGTCTACACCGTTGTGGATGGCCCCGTTACCGGATGCACTAGCACCACGCCCGCCATCCGCAAACTCAGCATCCATTTGTACTCCCTCTCACCGTTATCTCCTAGCCCCGAGACCGTGGGCCGAGATCTCCTCTCCAGTGATGGTATTCAAGGCTGGGGTAATGCCCGGAACCACTGGCCGAGGGTGGATGTTTATCCGCCGATGGGGAGTATTGAGGCGTGTATTGAGCATCATCGGCGGGAGAAGGTGTTTCGGGCGGAGAGGAAGAGAGAGATGGTGAGGGAGGTGGCGGATTCTGCTGCTAAAGCGTTTGCGAAGGATTGTGGGGATGATGAGGTTAGAGATGAGGAAGAGGCGGTGCAGGAAGCGATCGCCATGTTGCGAGGCAAGGAGCCATTGCCTCATATTGTTCCGACGTGGTGCTGTGCGGTGCGGTTCTGGGGACCGTATGATTACCGGACACGATATCGGAGTTTTATTCTGGTGGTACCGGAGGGATGTTCGACTTGGGAGGACATCAAGAAGATGGGCTTGTGGGTGGTAAACTTCGATTTGGACTGGGGGCCGACGATGGACACGGAGATGGAGGACTGGGAGCCAGAGTGGGATGAGGGGGCGTTGATTGTTGAGAAGACGGGGTGGGTGTGGGTTGAAAAGGTGGAGAAGGATCCATTGTTGAGTGTTCAGAGGGTGTCGGTGCAGGATTGTCAGTGGGGTGGGTTTGAGGTGGGGAGGGCAGATGACCTTGTGGATGGGGAGAGGCCGGCTTTCAAGACGAGTTTATATCATGTGTGGTCCGATTTGACTTCTTCGTTGTGGGATTGTACGTATCGCATTCGGGTTTGCGATCGCTGTGAGGATCAGGTGCCGCATGAGGATTGTGAGGGGGAAATGTGAGTCTTCTTCTGTTGGCTGCTGGGTTAAAGTGCTGACATGTTCTAGGGATGAGCATTATTTTGATGAGGACGGCCAATGTGTCGCCTGTCGACGTGCCACGGAGTATCGACGGCGTAGTAAGCGGATTGCTAAGCGGAAGGTGGATAGTATGACCAAGTAGATCCTATATGTAAATTCCTGGTAATAATCTAGATCATTATTATAGACAAATATATTTCTCTAGCTGGAAGTGCGCATCACTGTGAAGACGCCCTTCCCGTGAGCCACGAACCAGCACGAATGACCACATGGTATGTGAAGCCTTTCGGACTTCATCAACCTGCTAACATACCATCCCTTCGACTGGAGGTAACTAGTTCTTCTGTAGAGACGAGAAGACCGCACTGTTCTTGAACGATTCTTCGAGGGTAGTCAAAGGGTCGACTAGAAGCTATTTATTGACTATTAGCTTGCTGGCAACATCATACAGAAAAATACGATAGCCTCGACTGCTGCAACTTACCTTATGGGCTTCCTCAAATCCAGCTCCGTCAAAGTATCCGTACTCATGCGTATACTGCACGAGTTGCGACATGTCCTCTTGAACGACTTCAGGTAATCCCTTTGAAGCAATACCTGCCTTGAAGGTCTCCTTGTCCACGGCATGGAAAGTTACATCAACACCCAGACCTTTCGCGACGGCAATTACCTCCTCGACAGTGTGGCTCCTACCCGCGATATTGAACTTCCGACCAAGGGATTTCTCAGGGCTCAAAAGAATAGCCTTGACAAACTTTCCCAAGTCGGCAGTTGGGTCAATGATTGGCACTGCTGTCTTGACACTGCCTGGTACGGGAAAGAATAATCCATAAGAGGGAGGAGTGGTCGGGAGAGGTGTCAGCATCTCCAAGAAGAACGACGTATATGTGCCAACTGTTATGATAGTATGAGGGATTGCAATTTCGCGGATATAATCGTCAACCCGGGCTTTGCTGTCAAAGTGAACCACTCCGGTGAGCTTGTTGTCGGTGACTATTGATGCTTTGATTAGCTGTGACCAGGCATGAGGATAGTTGTCTTACTCTTGGAAACATGAGGTAGGCTGCTCCATATGAAGTGCTTAACGTCCGATTCCTGTTTTCATTAGCAGGTTTCCATCAATGTAGAAAGAACTCTAACCTTGGCAACATCAACGATATTCATGCCCTGCTTTGTCTCTGTCTCAGGATCGAGAACTTCCCAGAAGTTCGTGATAACAAAGACAGCGTAGGCGTTCTGTAAGGCCAGGCGAAGGGAATCTTTGTCGCCAAGGTCGGCCTATTGATCTCTCGTCAGTGGATGGGTGAAGTATCTTATTACAGTGGCTTACCTTTATGACCTCCGCACCCTGCTGAACCAAGCCTACGGCAGCAGGCTTGGAAGGGTCTCTCGTAACAGCGCGGACCTTGAGCTCTTCGGAGGCCGCAGAATCGCGCAAGATAGCTTGGGCAATCGAACCTCCTTGGATGCCAGTGGCACCGAATACGACGAGGATCTTCCTGTTATCGGACATTTTGTAGCGGAGTAAGGGATTGAGGCTTCCTGCGACCGTGTGGATTTGCTTTATTGCGAAAGATAAGTGGTAAGGAATTGAAGAAGGTTTTCAGGTGAATGGCTTGTTTGAAGAAATTGTAAGTATATTGGAGAGCTGAGGAGGGGAGAAAGCCTATTATATATGCTTGGCTGAGTAGCCCGGATGATAAACCAGAATTATCGATCGCTCTGAGCAGTGCGCCATTTCCAGCAACGAATGTTGAGATAATAGCATTTGTAATGATGACACGACGTTTGAAGAGAGGAGCAGCGCAACAAACTGATGAGGCGTGTGGCATCAAGAGCGCTCTGATTGGCTACCTCGCAATACCTACCAAATAGGACTAGTGCTGACGGGGCGGCTGTTCCGCCGGGCGCCCCTCGTCTCTCCGTCTCTCCGACATCATCCAAGTTCCAGCGATGCACACTCATACGATAAGAGTGCCTGTTAAGATCTAGGATTCTACTTGTCTTAGCTACTGCCGTTCTCACTATCCGCACCGGTGTCGGTGGGTTGGTCTAGACCGCCGGGATGGCCCGCCACGGAAGATTGTCGAAAGGCTGTCAGGTCTGTAGAAAACGAAAGATCAAGGTACTAATCCACTTGTTGCTTCACATTATGTACAGTGGCTGACAATAGTAGTGTGACCAGGCCCGACCGCATTGCAGTCAATGCCTCAAGGCTGGCTGGAAGTGTCCACAGTACAATGATTCTATAGACCGGATGTTCTTGCATCACACGCCCATAGATCTTAACAGATACTCCTCACAAACATATACAGGATCCATGAAAGAGATAGAGCTTTCTAGAAATACAGATAACGTCCGATACACGCCAGCTTCCACGCTTCCACCGACTATTATACAACGAATAGAATGCCGCGCGATCGACTTCTTCATGTCAACTCACGCCTTCCAGGAGCAAGGTCTCATCAGGGGCCACTATGAGTACTTGTCTGCATTCAAGAGCGATGTCATGACCGATAAGAGGGTCCTCGCGAGCTTAAACGCAGTTGCGTTGGCCGCATACGCTTACAAATTCCAGCACCTGGGTCTACTCCAAAAGGCTAGACGGTATTACGTTTCGTCTCTTCGCTATATTAACTCCGCGTTATCATGCCGCCGGGAAGCGGCTGAAGATGGAAGCCTTATCTCTATATTGTTTCTTAATACGTTTGAGGCTCTCACTTGCGAAACCCAAGATTCGCTATATCACAGGGAAGCTCATTTGAGAGGCATAACGACCATTGTAGAGCTTCGAGGAGTCAGTTTGTTCCAGTCTCGTCGCGGACTTCAACTATTTCGACAGGTGTTTCTATGTCTCTCTGTGAGTTGCCTAATGCATTCGGTTCGGATGCCTGCAGGATTGATCAAACTACACCGTTACGCCACTGTCTATATGGATGCAGACGATCCGGCGTGGGAACTGTCCGATATCATGCTTACATTGGCGTCTTTTCGCGCGGATATCAAGGACCACGCCCTTTGTGATCCGTCCAGCATAATCGAATCTGCCAACAAAATAGACCGCGACCTTTGTTCGCTCGCGGAGCATATGCCTTCCCAATGTCACTTCCAAACAATGGACACAGAGGGAATATCCGACCTTGTCCTGGAGACTCAGTATCACATCTACCCTGATGTATGGGTGGCAGCTATATGGAACAATATCCGAACATGTCGCTTACTCTTACATCAAGAGATCAAGGCCCAACTAGAAGTCGTGCTTGATACATCCCCACATACCTTCTCTCTATCCGACGCCTTCCAACACCAGCATTCAACCACAACCATACAACAGCTCATCTTGGACATTTGCGCTTCCGTACCCCAATACTGCGGGCATTTACCGCTCCTCGCAGGCAGTTCATCACCAACACAGCATGCCACATTATCCGAAGACACCATCAACCACAACTCCCCCGGCGGTATACCCACCACGGCAGGCATCTATCTCCTCTTCTGGCCACTCCTCAATGCCGGCCAATTGACCGATTCGGATACGCAGCGGAACTGGATCGTAAGCCGCAGTCGGTATATCGGCAAGATGACGGGAATCCAGCAGGCATTTGTTCTTGGAGATATAGTGGAGACTGGCATGGACCCTTTTCACTAATCGGTTCATAGCATAGCTCAAGAAGTCCCTCCAGTAACATCAGACGAACTGGTGATTGGGAAGTGCCCATTCCCCATGATCGGAAACATTGTAGGATCCGACATCCCACTTAACCCGATAGTGAACTCAGTAGTCAGATGCCATAGATGATGACCTCACCGGCATCATTCAGAGATCCGAAATTTCCCCAATGTTTCCTCGGACTTGACTCAGTTCGGCCAATTTCCCTTTCGGGACTAGTGCAGATCTCTCAACCTAGTTCTATAATTGGCTACACGTCAGATTACAGTGAATAGTGGGTCTTAGATAGGGGACTTTTTTCTCCCGCACACCGGCTAATGCACCCTGCATCTCTAGCATCCATGCACGTCTATGAGTCTCTAATGCAGGCGTTTCTTAATTTGCATTATGCATTAATCCTTGTCAATATCACTAGCCTCGGCTGTATTGTGAATTACCGCTTATCTGTCTAAATACCGCTTATATAACACCCCTGATAGGGTCGTCAACACCTGAGGTTATAGATAGAAATAGAGCCACAATTTTTGTTCTGATAACATGGGAATCAGTCAAAAGTGCTTCTTTACTCGTGATATTATGGAGGTTATGAAGACGTCTGTCCTTTCCTTGCGTATTTCTGGTCTGATGATGGGTTACCTCTTTTTTGTCGCGCGAGACGGATTCCCCGCCATTGAACATGAGAAAGCCGCCTCTTGATCGAGAGCGGTCTGTGACGTGATATGATTTGTGTGGAGGGAGGTTTCAGCCGCCATGAGATGGTGGCTCTTGCTTAGTCTTCAGGTAGAGCTTTGTGGCAAGAGTATGTGGCTGTGTGGTCGCTCCGTTGAGTCACTCGGATCTTATTTCAGGGTCGTGGGTGAAGTTTCGAGTTTGTAAGTATCACATAGACTCTGCCGCATCTGATGTTAAGCGTCTAGGAGGGTGGGAGAGATAATTGTTGTCAGCAACCCGGTGGCTTGAATATGAGTATGATCGGGTGATGTTCTGGAGTATGTGTGTATGTGAGTATGTTTGCTTCTGTCTCATCCCACGAATCGATGGGTCATGGTATCACTGTCCAGAGCTCAACTCTCGGATACCTGTTGCTCCGCGAGAGCGAGTAACTCTGTACTAAACAGGATCATCAGATGCAGATGTTCCTTTTCAATGGCGGTAACGTGGCGAGTGTCCACCTCTCGGAAGTATTCAGGAATGCGTTTGATGATACTAAGGTAAAGGCGACTCTCGCAATCGAAGGTATCCGCGACAATCTTGCAGAAAAGGTTTAAGAGAGCGGATAGGGGATAAAAGCAAAGTAGCCTAGGATTTTGGTAAGTCCATGAAAAATGCTAGAGTCGAATCAGATGGAGAGAACATACCAGAAGCATTCCCGGTTGAGCGTTAGTGGATTAGCCCGCATAAGTTCCAAAGACGCTGCGCTCGCCTGGGTAGACACATTCAGGCTCGATCGGAGGGCTTCTTTCACTGGTCCAGCCTCTCCCGACCAAGATTGACAGCGACTTACTGCCTGGTGGATGCACCCTAAGCAGTTGTGGAACTTGAGATGCATGATAAGTACATCAACATCAGATTGCAAGTTGGCGGGTTGGTTCGAGGCATGAATTGTCGGTCGAATGTCCTTTGGGATATTCAGTCGCCATTCTTCCAGCTCATCGTCAAGAGCGCGAATCGTTCTTAAGATCGCGATATCGCTTTTCCCCACGGCTTCTGGTGCGTAGAGTTCCGAGTATATTTTTGACATCAGAATCGATAGATGAAATGTGCTGGTGTAGACGCCAGGAACACATGGCAATAATCGTGAGAGATGGCGGAAGGGACTTTCCCCGTGGTCAGACGGAACGCACGATTCAGCAGGGAGTAGAGGTGTCTCCCCTAACCGAAGAAAAAGCTCTTTGTCGATCAAGAAACAAATCCAAAAGAGATTGCGGAAAATGGTGCTGCGATCAGAAGAGGGCGGCTGGAAGAATCCCATGCCCGGAGCAAGGTCTTTGACCAGGTGGGACGCAATGCGCAAGACTCCTCTTACAGCCCATAGGCAGCCTTCGAAGCAATGGTAGAGTACCTTTGATCCGGTTAGTATGTGTTGCGCCAGATAGAGTGCCACGGAATAATGAGGCGAAGCTGACCAGGAATACTGTTGTTTGCAAAGCTTCCAAAGATGGCGGTTCATTATCTACCGCGTGAAGTAATCGTCTTGCTGCTAAAGCGCATGTCCCACCGTCGACTGGGTATGTCATCTCTTCGCTATGGCCTGCCGATGAGCAGAATGCAACAAAGGAAAAGACGAATGCTCGGGCAGTGATAACATCCGGCTGTTGCTTGTCGGCGGAAGAATAGGCTGTTTTTATTATATTGGTTGACGCATCAGCATCGACAAGTGGGTAGAAAAGGCCGGTTCTGCCACACTTATACAGAGCCACGCATGCCTCTGTGATGAAACGGTCGGGTAGATAAACTGTCGTCGCTTCTATATCAGAGGGAATTGACTTCTGCGAAGCGAATGCAGGTCTATCCTGCCGATTGATCCATGGCAGGCTCAAAGAAGACAAATTGCTGAGAGTATTCGATGGTTGGCAGTGACTGCGAATCCAGTCTTGGGCTGTGGTGGAGAAAAGAGGGATCCCGTAGTATCGAAAGAGATTCTTCAGTCTTTCCTGCCTAGGAGATTCATCTGGAGATGTCGGCTCAGGTGGATTCAGTAATTGACTGAGCGGCAAACGACGCTCTTCTTGAACAGTGACTGTGGCGCTTTTCTCTTGAATTGGCATTAGGAACTGCAACAATCATGGGAAACAGACCATGGCTTACCTTCTTGGATATCTTCACTTGCACGCGCAGGATTAGTATCAACACTCTCTGGTGTTGTACTAGATACCAGTCAACATTCCGAAGGACAGCGACGTTGCAAGGAAAGTACCTGGACCCTGCTTTCGTTTTACTTTTCCGGCGCCGGGAACCTTTCGGGGGAACGGTACATGGTAACTCTTGATCCATGCACCATTCACATTGGTCTGAGCCAGTGATTTCGATACATTTAATCTGTGGTTGGTATTTTAGCCATGAGTCACCCATTGACCATGAGTTGGGGGGAGTGTGATATCCACCTTGCGGGAATAGCACGTATCGCACGATTTGCGCGGCCGACCGAAGCGACTATCGACCGGATTGCCGACGACACGTCTTGGCGCCTTCGGCATCTTGCACTGAACACGGGCTACGCACGGACTGATGAAGGTTAACAAGGATTAAGATGCAGGATGACCGGTGGGCGAAAGAGCTTCGCGGGTGATTGTCCGGGTATAAGGTTGTGGGAGGAGAGTCAATTTGCCCCTGAAACGGACGGGCGAGAAATCGACGTTTTCGCGTCCCGAAAGCCAATTTTGAGCCCGCGGCCTGAGGTGGCAATGTGCGCCAATCGCTATATTCATACATCAAAGATATACAAGCAGCTAATTTTGAAGCGATTGATATCCAGGTATAATGTAGGAGTAACTTAGGACATGGGTGGACAATATATTTCTATTAGGCGGCGAAGACCTCAGTCGAATGGCAAATATATTCACCATGAAAAGTTATTTTCAACCAGATCTGATACCTTGGAAATTAAGAAGCTATACAAAATCATCAGAGCCAGCATGGGCTGCGTAGAAAGTTGCAGCTCGTGGGCTACCTCAAAATAGCTTCAGATAGTGGCCAAAAAGCAAAAGGCAAATCTCCCCGACTGGGAGTCGAACCCAGGTCTCCCGCGCTTGTTCCCGATTGGGATTGACAAGCGGAAATCATGACCGTTAGACCATCGAGGATTTGATATGTCAGGTGTTCAATATTTTGACACATGATCGGAGGGTATTAATAATGGCAAAATATGGAAGGATTGGAAAACAAGAAACCAGAGGCAATAGCACCCCCTAAATCTCAAGCGATTGATTATTAGTTGGGCTGGTGTCTAGTAGAATTCGTCTCATGGTGATGATGATATAATAAGTGCCAAATGTGCATCTTTAAAGCTTGGGAAATCATTTTCATCTAGCTGGCTCAGTAAAATCTAGTCGGAGGACCTGAATATATCTTGTGAGATGCTATTATTTACCACACATAGCTACATTTTGCTAGCAGGCTGAAAGGTCACAGCTTGTTAATGGGTATTTCTTATATGTCTACCTGGACAATGCTGCGAAATCTATGTCTTATTCCCTAGTATCCGGGACACGAATCCTCCGAAACCCCTCTCTTGCGAGCTTCGCAACGTTCTGGTAGAGAACGTTCGACTAGATAGAAGACGTCGGACTTTGGAGATAGACCGGAAACCATAGCAAGGCAAACGATTTGGGCGACCCAGTGGTGTTAGTATGAGAATAATAGAGAAAGGGGTGGGTTGGCAGCGCGACCAGTATTTGTATTTAACATGATGATTTAGAAGAATCGGAAATTGTCAAAAATATAGGCATAAAAACATACAACAGAAGGGATTCGCTGGTGGTCACCCACCCAACTACTAACCTCCCGGCGTGCGGCTTAAGTACGGCTGAGCGGACGGGAAGCCCTGTTCTCCACACCCTGTGGTCGTATGTACAGGACACAACATAGAAGCAAGTGATATAGAGCGCAAAATAATGTAATTGGTCCGGAATATCATCCACAGGGCCCATCTGTGACAGAAATAGGCGATAACCCCATAAACGAATGAAACTTTCCCCTCCCGGGAATAATTACAGGCTTGTGGGCTTATGAACACGAATCAATTGTTCGACCATGATAGCAACCGAGGGATCGTTCCCTCTCCAAGGAGGATACGCCTGCGGGTAATGACTCCCTCGATATTATATAACATTATCCTCGGGAGCAAAGATATGACTACACAACTCAAACTAGTGTTGTTCCTCACAGAATGCATCCAGTTTGTGGAAGATCCCGGCGCCTCGCGGGGGGTACTTCAGGAGCCAGCGGATCCCGCCCATCGTTTGAATGAGGCGTTCCACATAAGTTGGGAGTCTATAACGCGCACCCGCCTACATAAAGGGTCTAAAAAGTGTTCCATGCCTGGCATTTCTCATTGTTGAATTCATGCGCCCTCACATCATCTACACAACAAACCCAACTCCGCCAAGCCACACCGATAAGGTACGAATACCACTACAAACAAAGACCTCACGTAAGACCAAAGAAACCAGCATCAACACAATGGACAACTGGCGTCGCAGTATCAACGAACCCGCAGCAAAAACCCTCAACGAAAACACCTGGCTGCGAAGCATCAACGGCACCGAAGACGCGGTCCACCAATTCCGCAACATCCAAAACACCTACCACGTTCAACTGGGAGAACTTCCCAACGCCCAATATGGGAACGACATTTGGTTGCTCTGGGACTATGATCGCATCTGGGGCAAGTTTGATTTCGGCTACACCACGGGCCTGTTTCTAGTTGACTCAGGGCCTAGGTTATCCGACGATGGGATCTATTTACCGTTTTGCTGGCGTGGGGCTAGGGAATCGTCGCCGAATGATCTTATATGGAATAAGAACTTCACTAAAGGGAGGATATGCATAGATCCTAAGATGGGTACGCTGAAGGGGAGCTTTCAGTACATGAAGGGAAATGGGGATGCGGGGGCTGGAACCTGTGAATTCCATGCGAAGGCGCGGGCTGGGCCAGCGGTGGTGCCGTTTCGTTTGGAGAATGTTGTGGATGAATGGAATGCTGCTTCGGAATATATGGGGGCGCTGGAGGGGGTTCGTCAGGATATGTCTGTGTTGGATTTGGAGGGTTATCTTTGTAGAAAAGAGAGGGATGGGCGGCGGTTGGGCGTTTAGGGGAGGGATTGGATTTGGCAACGCAGGGAAAAGAATTAGGAGTGAAGAACGAGGTTGATTACATTTACTGCTCGTCTTCGAAGTGACAAGTAGCAGGGTCGCATATGGGGCCAGTTTGGAGCAAGGTTGAGTAGATGTCTCGGGGTAATAGAAGGCTGGGTTGGTCGTAATCAACATAGGAAAAACGAAATTATAGATGCTTTGCCGTATAGCTCAGAGGTCCCCAGACTCAAGTATCAATGTACTCCACCGGATAAAATATCAAGGGCAGGAGTTCATCCAAGATAATTGAAGTCCATTTATCGTAGCCCAGTATCAAAATTGGTTCAACTGACCATGGTCGGAAGTTATCTTAGTACAAGGCTGAAAGTATTCGACAAAAGCCCAATGTCGGGATATCATACCTCAACGCATCATGCATCTCCAAGAAACATCCAAGCAGATAAGAACCCTAACAAGAGATTATCACAAAATATCTACCACTCCAAGCCCTTTTTAGCATCCGAGCAAATACCCCGATGTGTCGACCAATCATACTCTCCTCCCCTGGCCTTAAAACTGTCCTCATCCCAATATACGCACTCAAGTGCCTCATCAACTCCAACTTCCAAGATAGAAGGCGACGGGTCGCGACCATCTCGGTCTAGAAACCGCATATACTCATCCAGAATGAGATATGACTTGGCCATGAGAGCATTCGACTCTGGTACAAATGCTTTTTGGTGGCTGTGTGTATTGCAAAAAGACTCAAATTCCTCATCAGTGATGAGAAACTTGCGTGCATCTCGAAGTCGTTTATCGGATTCGTTTTCTCCGTCGACGAGCAGTACCTGGAAACACTTCCAGCGAAATGGCTGTAGGTCTTCGATGAAGGAATTCATATTCTCTTGGAAGTTAAGCCGACAGACCACGGTATTGATCTTGAACTTGATACCGTACTCGCGGCACAGGTCTCGTATCTTGTAAAGCTTTGAAACTTGATCGCCGGATCCCCGGCCAATCTTGGTGTTGGTATGTTCATTGAAAGAATCACAGGAAACGGCGAGAATATCGATATTATGTCCATGTCTAGCGAGAAAGTTCCTGGTGACTAAGCTACCGTTTGTGACGATGGAGACTGATTCGAGGTGTAAGTCTTCTTTGCAGTAGTCTATCATTTTCCCAAGACGTTGTTTGTCCAGGAACGGCTCCCCGCCGGCGAAGTTAATCTTTTTCATACCTGCGGCTTGGAGGAGGGCAAGTCCCCGCTTGGCATTCTCAATACTTTCCACATGGGAAGTAGATGCAGTATGGAAACAGAAGCCACAACTCTTGTTGCACTGCCGGGTAAAATGATAATTCACGGAGACAGGGCATTTTGGAGGGTTGAAAAGCTTAGATGCCTTTGTGAACCAGGATAAGAAAAGCACGAAGACAGCAAGTCCAAGAATGACAAAGAGAGAAAGAATTAGTAAAACCTTGTCATTAACTTTCATAGCAGTGATTCCACCTGGTAGTATTGCTGAGTAACTTTGTGAATTAGTTTCAGCAAGGAGTGAAGTCAAGTATGCTGACAGGTTTCTGTCAGAATTTATCACATCGCTGCTGCTGTTGTGAATATAATCTTGGCTATCACAATATCAGCAAATGATGCATGAATCACACTGGAGTAAATCATGACAGCAGATTCTAGGGCTTACTGAACACCCCTAATACTGGGCTAGACGCCACCTTTGCTCACAAGCGCACATTCTTGTTAAATATTTGATCGCATATTGCCAAAGCTGTTTTAAAAGGTACGCCATTGACGTCAGCGCTTGAACGCACACTGATAATTCATACACCAGTGACCGTGGTGGATATCTCTCCACCATGATCCACCCGCCAAACATCTACTTGGTTGGTGCCCATTGTACAGGCAAGACGACCCTCCATGGGGCGCTGAAAAATTATCTATCGACCAACATAGCTTCTTTTGCGATAAATACAAAAGGGCCAAAGAGTGTTGATGAGGTTGTCCGACACGTCATGCGCACAGACGGCTTCTCTGCAGTCCATGTCAGACAGCCAAATGCGGGGCTAGAGCTGCAGAAGCGCACTCTTCGGGCTCAGTTCGAGACTGAAATGAAACTGGACGAAAGCTGGTTTATTTCAGACAGATCTGGAATCGACCCGATCGTATACGCCGGCTTTTTTCTCGGACAATCTGCGGCAGAGGAGCTCACCGCACTTGAGGAATGGCATATACTCAAGGAGCGGATGAAGAACGCACTTGTCATTGTCTGCGAGCCGGGCAATGAGAGTTGGCTAACTAGCGATGGAGTCAGGATGAAATGTTATGACACCGAGGAATGGAGATCACTCGGTCGGGCGTTTCGTGCAGCCCTCCAAAAGCATGGCATCAAATTTGTAGCCATCCCGCGAGAATTGGAGAACTTGGAACAGCGGGTGCATTTCGTTGAAAGTCTTCTCAGATCTACCTGCTGAATTTTATCTGTGTCATCAAACATGTCGACATATTCAACATGTGGATCGCTACCTGACGATATGTACTGACCGTTGTCGGGGGGCACAAATCCTGTCCTGTAGAACCAAAGCTCAATTGTACGCTCGGAAATGCAGGGAAGGAGGAAATCCCCACTCTCCTGGCGCAAAGCAACTACCGGCTTCACCAAAGAGAGGCTTAACACCATGACCATAATCGTCACCCAATGAGGGATAGGAGGTCCAAGATATGAGGCTAGTTCGACAGATCGAATTGTTCTTCTCCTTAGGATCACTTGTCTTAGTTTTCGGAAAGCGACGAGGAACTGTGTTCCGGTTGGTCTTGGGAAGTTGAAGGGATGAGTGTAGCCTTAGATAGGGCACAATGTTTGAAAAATGCTTCCAAATTTCGGTGATCGACCGTCTGACATAGCATAGATTGGAGCCCTTTAGAGAGCGATGAAGTTAGTAACAGTAGAAGGTAAGTAGTAAACGGACGGGCGAAAAATTGGATAAACTAGGCTATACCATGCCATTACCACCGTGGATCTAAACCGTCATTCCCTTCTAGTGCCGTTCTACAGAACTCGAAAGCATGTGTCAGTAGGGGGCCTGAGTCATTGGATGTGACCATCGGAGAAAAAGGTCTTTGGCAAACTCACCCCGTTGTAACACTTCGGAGGCCTCTTGACCAAGAACCCACCCAGAGTGGAAATGTACTGACCTTCATCATCCGCGATGCCGTCGACAACGACCCAGGCACAAAACCATGCCTAGAATCGGGTGATGCTGAATCCAGCGCTGGGGCCTGAATCCTAGCTTGGCAAGCCTCGTGCGCTGGGCACGGGCCGCGCCAGCGGATTACCCATTCTGGAAAATTCGCAAACCGCGCTAATAGCGATGCACTCTGATTGGCTGAGTCGTGTATCAAGCGAGATGCCAACCATACTATCTATCATCGATTACACGTATTCCAATAGCAGGGCTGCATAGGTGCGAATGATAAGTGACACGGATAATGCGAGAAAAAAAATAATCTAGCCTATAAATAATGCTACCACTCCACAAAACGGAATCTAGTCAGCCATGCTCCGTCTGGCCCGTTTGGCTTCGACAACAGAACCAACTGGCGGCGACATTGCATACTCTCGCCCACCGGAATAGATTTGACGGTCTCATATATACGGTCCTTCTCCTCCGGTATTCTTTTTGCGATAGGGAGATATGACAGATTCTCTTCTTCCAGTTCCATGATCACTTGGGCGACCTTCGCGACAACACGCTTATTCCAGAGTCCCTCTTGTTTGGTACATTGATCCAAGAGCCGGATGGCTTCTCGACGAATGATTGGATTGCGGCACTTGATTGCTGTATAGTATAGACCGGTGATGATACTGGTTTCAAGCGTGAACATGTCCGGAGCACATTTGGTTGATTTCCGATCGACGACAGCATCGATATCAATTATCTGGGCTGCACAATTCACAATTTCTGCGAAAGCAGAAGTGAAGCTGTCGTATACGGTCTCGTGTCTGGACAGACAAGTTTTCACCCATATCCAGCAGTCAAGGTACAGCATGCGAAGGAGCAGCAGCGCCCTGGGGTCTGCTTTTGCAGAACGTCGTGGTTTACTTTTGAGGGCGTTGAACGCCCTATTCCATGTCGCAAATTCTTGGAGGAGCTGATGCTGCTGGGGCTCCAAGTGTGTGCGATCCGTGGGCTCATACCCTGCCAGGCAGACAAACATTGATGTCCTGTTCATGAGTATATCCAACGCATGTCGGGCCTGAGAGGTATTCGACCAAACGGGTGTTTCATTTACCAATTCTTCAGGACATATGGACTCAAGATCGAAGTAAACCATAGAGCGTCCGTTCATTGCGAGTTGGATATTCAATCGGAGACCCAAATGCAAAAGCTCTTTGTCGGTCGCATTTGACCCAGTTGTTTGGTCTGTTGCCCGTTGAATGATCTTCAATCCCGCCTCCATGTGATCCAGAGCTTGTCTGGAATTACCACTCAGCATCTCGAGACACACGAACAGAAAGCATGTGATGAGAGTCAAATCAGTCTTTTCACCTGGAAATGCCAGATACGCCATCAAATGCCGGATTGCTTCGTTATAATGATACACAATAAACCGGTCGTTGTTCCGTCGGACTGCGCCCGATGAATGTTGTTGCAGCGCGAGTGCCCGCTCATGGGCTGCACTCACAGCCGCACTGGCATGTCTGACGATAGGCTCGCACTCGCTCAGCTGCGGAAGATTGCGTCCCCAGAGCTCCGATTCAAAAAACCCGGATAGCGCGTGGGCAGTCTGTGTGTTGAAGAAGTATAGGTAATGCCGTTCTTCTCTTGACCCCGCCCGAAGGACGATCCGATGGTCGGTGCTTAACTTTGGTTTCATGGATGGTACGACGTCGCTTTGCGGGCGCTGTTGGGTGTATCCATCGCACTTTCTTCCTGTTCGCTTGCACTGATGGCATTCGGGCCGTTGCTCGTCACATTTGACATGTCGGATCCTGATCAGAGGCTGGGTTAGTGAGATAGGCACATCTGCGGTTGAGCTTTGGACTTACTTGCAGGTTTGACATCCTGTTCTTGATCTTGGCGTCGCTGCTCGTTGCCGTTTGGTCTTCATTATGCTGGGGGTGGCAGAGAATGAATCTCACCAATTTTGCGATTAACCGACCGAGGAGAGTGGGAGGCCCGTCAGACTAAGCGGAGAGGTGTCGACAACTCCATACAGGATTCTGAGGCCTACTAGCGCTACAGCCACACTACGATCACCGCCACACCGCCACACCGCCACCCTTGTAGTATTCATGCCTTAGGCCATAGTAGGCATCCTAATGCCTCGGCTTTCCCCTTGTAGCCATGCATATTGATTGGTGGGGGAACCATCCAATGTAGCTCAACTCTAGTTCCATGGAAACGGATCCGGAAGCTATTGTATACATTCAATGGTTCATTCTTTTTTGACTTCAAGTTAAGCTCAATGCCGAGAAAGCATTGTTCGGGAGACCCGCCCGTCTCCATATCATCTTGTCAGCCCACTCTGACCCACTCCTATAGATCTTATATCAAGAACGCTTGGGTGGAGCTATGGGTCTGCTTAAACGAGAATAAGGGAAAGTCTTCAATAGCTCTTCTAATGGCAATCGCAGCGCTGAAAAACAGTTGTGGTAGTAGTAGACTAATATAAAGTTAGAACATATGTGTATTAAGGTTACTACTTGTTTGCAGTATGCGAATAGCTTCCAAACCCAACCCACCTCCCCCACACATCGTACCAAACCCCAAGTACTCTACCCAATACCGATTCCAACCACAACACTAGTATCCCACAGCCACATATCCACTATCAACCTTTATTCTGACCTCAAATCCTTCCACCTCTCCATCCCCACCAACCTAACGACCCCCTCTCATCTCGAAATAAGCCGACAACTTCCCCTTCGCCACCCCCCCACAAAAAGCCCACCCATATCTCTTCATAAACTCCCCAATCTTCCCATCCATCTCCTCCATTTTCTTCCTCCTAAACCCCTCCACATCCCCTTTACACTCCCCCTTCCACTCCATCTCCACCTCCCCTACGGTATGTCCAAAATCCATCTCATCCTGCACAATAGTAAACTCCCTATCCGCAATCCAACTCTCCCGCACAGTCACAAAATCCGCCATCGGCACGAGTCCAAAGTTAACCTTCTCGGGCTTGTTCACACCAGTGATGGTCGCCAAGTAGGAGGAGATCTCTGCAGGCGAGGAAAGTTCCTGAAATTGGGAGTTGGTGTAGTTCCCTCCGCGCCGGATCTTGGCTTGCCAGGTATTGTTGCGTTTTCGGATCCAGATACCCTTTGTGGAGAGGTAGTGGGGGTGGGTGCTGCTGGAAGAGGAAGAGGGGATGTCGTAGTATGTGTCGTGGAGGGTTTTGGTGCCGAGGTAGTTGATGGTGCGGAAGGGGGGTGGTGGTGGGTTGGGGCGAGGTGGAGTTTTGTAGTGAGACGGGGGAATTTGCGTTCGACTTCGAGGAGGAGCATTTTTTTGGAGGTTGGAGGGTTGGGGGTGGATGGATTGGGGAATGGATGTGCGTTGAGGTAGAAGGGAGGAGTGTTGGGTTTTATTTGTAGGTTGGTGTGTGAGGGTTTCTGTCTGGTATGGAGTAAGGAGTTAGCACAGCTGTCAGAGTCTGGAGCTCTATAGGGATAAACCTCTTTGCATCAAGGGCAGAGATCTTTAGTGGAAAGGTGAATCAAGTTCGCAAACTTTTTTCTTCTTCTTGTGATACTGCAAAGGCGGGGACTGGTGGCTTTGCAGAACCATACTTCTTACTACGGGTGAAAGAAGCAAAACTTCACATCCCAAGCTTTTATTCATCAGGCCATGTTCACTACTATCGAGGAAAAAATTTCTTCATAATTCACACTATTAATATTTAATATACCGAAAGACAAATCCATGGCTTTTAAGATGTCACCCACCATTTCTCAGCCTGTACTTCCGCACTTCCAACTTGAAATAAAAAACTCAACATCACAAGCACCATGGAATCCCGTGAATACTCCCGTATCTACGTCATAGGTAAGTGCTAGATCCAGCCTCACACAACTCCACTAAAACACCTATGCAGGTGCACCCGGCGCAGGAAAGGGCTCACTATGCAAGAAACTAGCTGAAGAGTATCACTACCATCACCTCTCAGTCGGCGATCTTTTGCGCGACTGGTCCAACTCGAACAAATTGAGTCCAGAGGCCACCAAGGCAATTGAGAGCAACGTTTTGGTCGACGTCGAAGATCTGATCATGATTCTCCGAGATGAGGTTGAGAGCCTGGAGCGAGAGGGGAAGAAGAACCTCGTGATTGATGGCGTTCCTCGCGTGCTGGAGCAGGCAGGGCCTGTTGAGGAAGCTGTAAGGATACGCCTCCTGCATGTTCATTTTACGTGCTGACTCGAGCAGATCGGGTCGCCGGATCTGGTCCTCTTCTTCAACTGTCCGAGGGAGGTCGCCAAGGAGAGGTTTCGGACTAGGAATATTCCTGGTCGGGTGGATGATGGAGAGACGTTCGATCAGAGATATAGTCACTATGTTGCTGAGAATGAGAGAGTCCTGGGGCACTATGGTCGCAGGGGGCTCTTGGTTGAGGTAGGTGGTCTTCTATTGTTTGTTGGTTGGTATTGATGGTTTATTAGGTTGATACAAGTGGAGATGTTGAGGCTTCATATGGTAATTTGTTGGATGGTCTCAAGGTGGAGGAGTGAAATGATTGATTCATCTGCACATTGGGTCTTATCTAGGCTTTAGGTTGCATGCTGATAACCCCCTGCTTGGAATTATTTCGTGGGTAGTGTTTTGAATAAGACCGGATTACTCAGATAGACGCCCAGCTTCCTTCATCGCTGCCCTAAACTCGTCCTTCATCCTCGTAGTAAAAGCATCATTTGTCAACATATCCAGAAATATCAGAGTATTAGCTTTGCCAGCCCGAAGTGCCTTCTCATGTGCAATATCGCCTTGTGCTGCCTCGCGGAATCCAATCAAATGTGGAAGATCTGATGCCTTGATATTGAACATTGCTTGAATACCAGGGCAGATATATGAGCAGCTCCCGAAATCACTGCTGTAGTTAGCACCCGTGGTTCTCTCTCAAACAATATATATAAAAACTCACGAGCTTCCCAGTGAGTCATGGACCATTCTAGCCTCTTTCATCAGTACCATCTGCTCCGGCTGCAATCCCAGATACTGCAACATATATTGCCTGTACTGCTCCGCGAGAGTATCATTTGTCACGACGTCCTCATAAAGGGCGAACCTATCACCACTTATTAGCGCACCCCTTCCAAACTACCAACCCCTAATCAAATCACTTATCAAAAAAGAGAACTCACCACTCCAACTCAACCTTACACCCAGTCGCCTCTGCCACCCCCTGAAACACCCTCTCCATCCTCTCCCTCAACTTCTCCACGCCCTTCACTGTTATTGCCCTAACACTAAACAGCCCCTCCGCATAATCCGGAATTATATTGGCTATCTTTCCCACCTTTAATATACATCTCTGGATACTCTCACTCTTTTGAATATATTGTCTTAACAAGATAATCCCTGTATATGTATGTATAATTGCATCATATGTATTCTTTTTTATTCAGGGCCCCGCTGCTGTATGCGCAGATTTACCCCTGAACTTAGCATGTAACTTCAATGATGCCTTAATGTAGCACACTGGTATACTAAAATCCAGCATTCTGTGTATTATAACGCAGGAATCGAATCCCTTCCAGGCGCCGTTTTATGCCATGAGTCATTTCCCCTCTTAGAATTCTTTAGCGGGGGTGCTCATTATGACAAGTATGCCGGGGATGGAGTAGGCTTTGAGGATGGATTTGAGGCTGATGGCGGAGAAGAGAGCAGATGTGGTAATTAGGTTGTGGCTGCAGGTGTGGCTGATTGTGGAGAGGGTGTCTGACAAATTATTAGACTGCCTGAGTATTTAGGAGATTATGGTGCAGACTTACCGTACTTGGCGTTGAAGTAAACGGTACGACCACCTTCTTTGACAGAGAAACGGGCTTTAAAGGTGGTTTTGATTCCGTAGACGCCACAGTGGACGCTCCATCTGCGGTTCTCGAGCCATTCGGAGAGTAATTTGCAGGCCTTAACCTCTTAGAATGCGACTTCTGGGTTGTTGAAGATCTAGATAGAGAGGGGATGTTAGAGTTGATGGAATTGAAGTAAGAATGTGACTTGCCTCGAGGTTCAATGCACGCAGCTCCTCGCTGGCGTCGTCGATGGCTTTGGTAACCTCATTGATCATCTCGGGGGTTTGAAGAGGGTGATCGTGTGTTTGTTGAGTCATTGTGGTTGAAGGTTTGTTGTTTGAACTTTGTTGAAGCAATGTGCTGAACCACTTATCGGTGGGATCTGGTAACTTTTCCACTGCCTGAGGGGTGAGGCCATCCGGGCGGGGCTGCGGGAAGCACTTGGAGAGGCGGGGCGATAAGGTGATAAGGTCTGATAACCTCGATGCTTATCAGTCGGATAACCGATAATCCCCGGTTCGGTCGGACCGAATGCCGATGGGTCCGATAGCCGTATCGCACCATGGATCGGAGATCCAAGCAATCTATGAGGATGTAAATACGGTATGTATCCATTATCCGTTCAATGCGGCGTCAGAATCACGGACATTTATGCACTGACCATGTCATCATAAGTCATATAGTATGTACAGGAGACTCTAACATGGAACCAGGATGGGCTACCGGGTCTTTTGGAATATAAACACTCTGCCCGGTATGCCACGCTTCGCCTCCTCCGCGGTTAACATCTCAAAGGAAACCCTCTCCCCAGTGAGATCGGCGAATCGTAAAACTGCCATGCGATGGTTGGCACATACCCATCGCCCGTGGGTGCATGACCCAAGTGGAGCTGTTTGGCATGCTGTGCGCTCAATCTCAATAAGCTTCTCTCCGGCATGTAATGCTAGCATGGTCCCGCAGATGCCTTCGCGACGAGGATATAGTTTCATATATTTTAGTGCCTTTTGTCGAATCATCGGCTCCCGACAACGAGCCGCAATTAGGAAGAAAGCCTCGGTAACAGTGCTTTCTAAACTGAAGTGCCGTTTTGGTTGGATTAAAGCAGGAGTCAATGCCTCTTCCAAGGATTCGTCTTCTAAGATTGTACCAACCAGTTGGAGCATCTGCGCGTAGTCATCGATAAAGTCATCATGACCAAGTTCACCCTTGGATGGATCCAGACACAGCAGCACTTTCGCATATAACCGCCGAAGGTAGAGAATGTTCAAGCCTTTGTTCTCCCGATCGGGGGAAGAAGTCGCAAGATACCGGGCAAGCCTTTCATCCCATTGACGAAAGTCCTCATGACACTTCTCGAGTTTAGCAGGCCCTTCCGCCGCAGCGATGTCAGAGCCACTTGTAACAACTTGTAACATGTTATTTATATGGACCTCCAGGGATTCATGCGCCTCGGGGAGAGATGTGAAATGGGTTTGGGGTGCAGGCAGGGCAAACTGGGTCTGCGCCCAAGGGATAGGAAGTTGTTGGAGCAGAAACATTGGACGGGCCTGGCTGTCGAGCTGGGCCAAGAGAACAACTAGTGGGGACATGTCCACAGAGTCATGTGCCTCGAATTCAAGACGCCAGTTGTAGCATATCATCAAGGCACCACCGATATGCTTGAAAGATTCCCAGTGTAAGCCCTGCAGACTGAAGAGGCAGATATATATAATGCAGGTCCCAAGAATAGCCAACTTATCGTGGACCGTCAAGCGCGTCCATGATATCATCTCCCTCAATAGCTGAATGGATTTGGTATGCTGTCTCAACGCGAATTGAACCCGGTTGCTTTGAGATACCCGTACAGGAGTGATGGGTGTCTCTTCCTCAAGGAAGTCCCAGTGCAAAGACGCAAGCGCGGCCATTGCATGCCACAGAGCCGGGTAGTGATGTGAGACCTGGGGTAATCGGTAGGACCAGATCCCCGAGTCAAAGAAACCCGTCAAACTGGGGATGGTCACCATGCGAAAGTAGTTGAAATATGTATTCTCCATTGAATTATGCCCGACAAGATTCCAGTCCGACGGCACCTGTACCAAGTTGTGGGTGTAAGTGAGTGTGCTTTTTGTGCGCTTGTTGCTCGGGCCTTCGTAGCCATCACACTTCCGGCCCGTGGAAGTGCATTTCCGACAGCTGCAAGTACTCTAATGATTAGTGGACATCGCTTGGCCCAGGAGATCAGGAACGGGAGTAAATCCAGAAAGGAATTTGTTGTACCCACCTCGGCTTGGACTCATCACATTTGACTCGCCGGATTCTACGCAGTCAGCCAGGTACCGGATGATACATTGTCCACCCGGGCAGCAAGGGTCTCGTACCTGCAAGTGAAGCAGCCAGTCTTAGACCTGGGCCTCCACTGCTTTTGTCGTTGTTTACCGGATTTGTTCAGGCGCGAGCAAAGCTCCTCGGTAGTTGGGGATAGCATTGAGTGGGCAACAAGGAGACGGGAAATGGTAGACGCAGCAGCCAGTAGCAGCCATTGAAAAAAGGGAGAACCGGGACCAGCCAACATTAAGACGTGGTGGCCTACAATCACGTGCTGTTAGTGCTGACGTTTTAGACGCCGGTTCTTTCGTCCGACCGCTGGCGGGATCGCCCGTTGCAATCCACCTCCCCCACCCCTCACCCACCACTGGTCGGACAATGTCCGCCACTCCGCCAGTTAACACTGGATACTCCTTTCTGACAGGCTGTACCTGTTTAGTGCTTATGGACTATTTTGTGATCGGCCAGGCCATCACAAGGCTGTGAGGGATGTCCTTTGTTCTGACCAACGGTCCTTGATTCCAGTGCCCTCCTCCACCTTGTAGCCGTTGGCCATGATAGTATATAATGTGACCTATCCTCACAGCCACCACGGGCTTTCACTAACCAAAATCCATCTACTGCCTCTTTTATTCTCGTCCTATCTTTATTCATACGCATATTGTGGCTGTGTGTCCAAAGGTTTCTGCTACTATTGTACGCTGGCCCGTGAGCGTATGACTGGGGCATTGCTGACCACTTTCTCACACCAGGTATGAAGTGCGTTGCGCCTACTCAGCAGACGTCCCTCTATAATTTGTCCTGGAGATATAATCAGTACATACGACCACAGGGTGTGGAAAACAGGGCTTCCCGTCCGCTCAGCCGTACTTAAGCCACACGCCGGGAGGTTAGTAGTTGGGTGGGTGACCACCAGCGAATCCCTTCTGTTGTATGTTTTTCTTTTTGTTAACACCACAGTAACTATGCGAGCTCTACAGGATCTACAGATTCAATAAAAGCTCGATATCCTGCGTACAATGTCAGTCACCGAGGCAGATATCGTCGGCCTCGTGCTCGCCGCCTGTCTATCCTAAAACCCCGACCAGATTATTGTTCTTGAAGCTGGTCAGGACTAGACCGAGGACCTCCGGGTATTCCAGAATTATGGCCAGCTCTGGTAGCCACAGACTCTGACTGGTAATTTATCACGGTGCCCCAGGTATTTCCGTCCAACCCTTGGCCTCGCTTGGCTTAACCGGTCTGTTAGGTATCTCTGAGCGGCCAACATGTTCCCCTGCCCCATGGCCGGATGCTCGGTGGCACCAGCGCCATGAATGGAATGGCTTTTATCGCCAACTCCCGAGCCAATGTCGATACCTGGGGTGCTTTGGGAAATGAAGGCTGGAACTGGGCTACGTTCAGCCCCTACTATCGAAAAATTAGTCTTACACTCTCGTCCGAGGAAAAAATAAAGGAGCTTGGGCTGGAATACGTGGATCCGAAACTAAATGGTATCGACGGTCCTCTCCAGGCGTTGTTCCCAGATGCAATTGATGACCCCTCGCCAACGCCTGGATTGAGTCTGTGAGAGGGCTGGGCTATCCCATGTCCAGCGATCCATTTTCCGGAGATGGTTTGGGGGGTTATACCAATGCAGCAGCTATCGATCCTGCACGCAGTTTCTCGGCCAACGCATATTATCTGCCTGCGAAAGGACATCCGAACCTCCATGTGGTGAGTGAGGCCTTGGTCAATGGAAACCCTTCCCAATGGCAATGTCACTGCGACCGGTGCCAAATACACAAAGGGCGACACTGAATTCACCGTCAAAGCACTCCGCGAAGTCATTATCTCAGTCGGAATCTTCAACTCACCCAAAGTTCTTGAGCTGTCAGGCATTGGTTCACTAGATACCCTAGAAAAATTTAACACCCCGGTAGTAGTGGACAATCCCAATGTCGGCGAGAATCTCCAAGACCACCCATTGCCAGGAGTCATCTTTGAGGTCCAAGTCTTTATCAACACTAAAGATAATCTCATGCGTCGGGTTCCCGAAGTTCTTGGAGCAGCTATAGAAGATTACAAAACCCGATAATTCGGCCTCTTCACCATCGGAGGCAATTACTCTTCCACCCTCCTCCCCCTCTCCGATTTCTCCAAGCCAGACACCGGCTCCGAAGATCTTGCCACCATCCTTGCAGCCACTGTACCGGACTCATCAAGCGCAGATTTTGCTGCCTTTATCCGTTCTATCCTGCAAAATCCTCGCGAAGCAACAGGCGGCTATTTCACTTACCCTGCCCGGAGAAATTCCAAAGGCTCCAGCGTTGATTCTCAAATAACCTGATCATAAGTTCCCTGAGAACTATATTACAATCTGTTCCTTTCTACTGTACCCGCTGTCGCGCGGTATATGTCACGTCTCATCCGCCGACCCAGCTAAGCCTCCCATCGTCGACCCACGCTACCTAAGTCACCCCGCCGATCTGGAGATGTCGGCCCGTCATACGCGATTCATTGACGCGATTGCCTCATCGCAGCCTCTTGCCTGCATGTTGAAACCCGGTGGTAAACGCAGCCCCGGTGTGCCCGATGATCTGCGGACAGCATCCCTGGACGAAGTCAAAGATTACGTGAAATCTGCCGGGAGAAGCACATATCATGCGACAAGTACATGTGCCATGCTGCCCCGGGAGGAGGGTGGCGTTGTAGACTCCCGCTTACGGGTCTGGGGCACCAAGGGACTGCGGGTTGTAGACGCCAGTGTTATCCCTATTGCGCCCAAGGCTAATCCCCAGACAATGGTATATGCCCTTGCGGAACGGGCAGTGGACTTGATCAAAGAGGATTTAGCGGGGAAATAGATCGCATATGTCTAAAGCATTTAGTTTTCAACATTGCAGCAAACGGTGAAAATCTATCAAATGTCAAGAAATGTATTTCGAGCCTCTGAGTAGAACCATCCAGAGTGATAGCGGCTCTGACACGATCATGCCGGTACGATAATGAAGCGTCTCCATCACCAACAATGGGGTATGGCGTCGGCTACTCGCATAAGGCGGGCAACAGCCTCTAGAAAGGAGGGGTTTACACACGATCACCATATTCTGTTTGTTCATGGTCCCAGCCTGTACGCATCATGGTCAGGTTTGGCAAGTTCGTCATGATGTTGCTCAGGCATCGCGATGCCCGCTGTTTGTTCCTTGGGGGGCGCACAGACTAGCCTGATCGTGTAGTTGTTATGAGGGTGAACCCCCATCCATCGACCTTCCCGTGATGAGCTGGGAAGGCTGGGTATGTGCACGCCCCCTGACGTGTGACCAAAAAGAAGCTGACAACGAGGCTGAGCATCACTCAGCCCCGTACGAAGGGGTTGCCTGAGGCCCTGGGGAGCCCCAGTCATGGGACCAGAGGACCTTCATTTGAATTAATTTTATATGATGCCTTCAATGGCATGCGATCTAGCTGCTAGGTCGAGCCGGACAACCGCTAGCTATAGACTAGACACTAGCTGGAGAATTTCGTCTTTCCGACCAGCAAACAAATGAGAGACGATTTCAGTCTGTTCGCTTCGCCTTCCTTATCTTTCATCTGTTCTCCCAACCCACCCAAAATCTCGTCCCTTCTCGCACTCACTACCCCGGCCTCGAATTGTCTGATTCCTAATGACAACCCGACTGTCACCTTCCCTAAGGAAGCATACCAGGTGGACCCGAGACATCCAGTCTTTGGCTCGAACGGGGAACTGGGATGGTCTAGTTCGGCTTCTGGATGACCCGGACGTAAAAGCCGCAGGCTTGCGGTTCGAATGGCGTAATCCACTTCATGAGGCTATTATGGGCGGCTATGTGGAAGTCGTGCAGCGGTTAATTGACCGTGGCTACAGAGTCGAGGAAAAGGGTGGTGATGCATACAACAACCCCTGTATGACGTCTCTGCATTTCGCCGCATGGTATAATAAGGCGGATATTACTTGCCTTCTTCTTGGGGCTGGTGCGGATCCTATCAGACTCGATCAGAATGATCGTCCTGGGAGGAAAAGGCCAGACTCGGTGCTACGGACTCCTTTTGTCACAGCGGCTTACTGGGATGCTGCCGATGTGATGCAGGTCCTGATTGACTGGTTGTCGCCCGATCAGATCACCACTGCAGAATGGGAAGATGCGGTCGCTCTGGCTGCAGAAAATTGGCATGCGAAGCCCCTGGAAGTTCTTTTGCGATGCTATCCTGGAGACGTTCCTCAACGGATCTTAGACGAAGGCCTGGCCAAGGCTGCGGCGTACTGTATCCGGGACGAGAACGAAGGAAGAATTCGTTCCAAAGAGGTTCTATGGCAAGCTCAGATTGAAGTCTTGCGACTTCTTCTCGCAAGAGGGGCAAACCCAAACTGGACATACGATGAGATGTCTTTGCCAATCTTATACTACGCAGTCTCGACGGCGCAGGGTATGGAAACAATCCAAATGCTGCTTGATCACGGTGCAGACATGGAGGCCCTTAGCCCAATGGGTGACACTCTACTGTATGTTGCAGTCCAGAATGGAAATCCTCAGGTTGTTCGCTCTTTTCAGCAAATGAGCGACCGAATTAATGAAAGACTGGTGAACTTTGGGAGCGGGGACATGTATCAACCGGTCGGCGGGTCTCTGCTGCACGTCGCGGCATATCAGGCACCCCTGGAGACTGTAGAGCTGCTGCTCGCAAATGGCGCGGACCCTTCAGCGCGGGATGACAATGATGCCCTGCCTTTTCACTCGGCGTGCAAGGCTGGTTGTTTAGAAGTCGTGAAGCTGCTCTGGACAATTTCGCGAAATATTTTGGATAACCTGGCAAACGACTTGACCAAGGACGGTTGGTCTCCCTTTCTTCTAGCCGCTCAGTATGAAGCAATTGGTAGTGAATTTCCTCTCCTATCGTTTCTTATCGACCAGGGCGCGGAAGTAAACTGCAGCTCCCCCGACGGCTGGAGCCCTCTCCACCGTGTCATGGGTTTTAGGAACATTGCCTGCATGGAGTTTCTCTTAGAAGCTGGAGCCAAGCTTAGTCGAACGGTAGCGGGTGAGACAGTTACATATCGCAATGAGAGGTTGCCAGTTGGATGCCTTGGAATACATCCTTCAACATGGGGCAGATAGGGATGTGAACACCAAGGATGAACTCGGACGGGCTCCGTTGTCATTCTATGTCCAAAGTAACCTTTATCCCAATTTCCAAGTACTCGACACCCTTTTGCGGTATGGGGCAGATCCCGAGGCGAGGGATTCCACGGGCAAGACTGTTAAGGAGTGGGCCACTGAGAAGCGGTACACTTATTTTTGGAACAAAGACAACTGAATAAGAACGTTTTCATTGTCCCTTTCATTGTCCCGGGTTGCATCTTGCCTTGCAGTATCCCCATATCCTTGTGCCAATGCATTGCATATGTCTGAAACCTATCCCAAGGATGCCTGGCCAGATGTGAATCAACACACTATCTACCCTGTTCTTGTCCCATCTCGAGTTATGACACGCCTCTCCTCGCTCTTATTAGTAAACCGTAGTACAGATTGCAGAGGTCTGGCTAACCAACTACGTAAGTGATGCGCATTCCAGGCCTGATGGATTCCAGCCCTCTGCTAAACGGCAGACCTGTGAAATCTTGCTATTATTGATAGCTGAACTTCCTATTACAAGTGCACGATCGTAACAGAAGCTTTATCCAATGACCCCGCTGCTAAGCCTTGCGGTTGCACGGTGCGACCAATAGACAGGTCGGGATTTTACTATTATGCGAGGGAGATTATCTGTATGAATTGAAAATGGTGGGCTTTCGCATATTGCATAAATGTAGCCATCAAGCTCCCTAAGCTTGTATACTTGGTAGAAGGAAACGTTACGCATTTGAGGGGCGGCATCCAAGGGAGAGACAAACCCACTATCCCATAACTTCCATATCACACACGACGGAGTCTCCAGCCTCCTTGTGTGCCTCACAGCATATCACAGCACAAATTGCTCACAAGGAATAAGGAATGCCATTTGTCGAAATGGAAGTAACATCAGTCTGTCCGTTACAGTGGTCTGTCAGAATTGCACAAGGTGTGTGACTTCGGAGGAAATAGCAGAGGGGTCCGTTAGTCATATCCGGCGGCATTGCCATCTTCATTCTTGGTTCTCATCCTCTCCAACACATTCTTCATCCCACTTCCCAAGCATAACCAAATCTACTCGCTTCCATACCAAAATCCCTAAACCGTCCGATGCAATGTATCCCATTCAAAGCCGACCAACGAATCTCACTTGCGAAATCCATGGAATCTTCTGCACTGTCGAGATCCCACTTGACGTACCCCCCCCCTCTCCTCTCCTCTCCTGTCCTTATCAACCCCAATACTCCTACTAACTCCTCTCCTCCCCAGACCCTTGATCATATCTTAACTGCCGCCTACGAAAAACGGCCCTACCTCCGGCGATCCCTCATCTTGATGACCACCCTCGCCCCCGACCAGCTCCAGAACCTCACCTTTGACGACGTCACCAGCCCCCCCATCACCGAGCACTTCGTCTCACCGTTTCTGGGCTGGAACACTCAAGCCATCAAGACCTTTCTGGCTGAAGGTGTCCCCAAAAACTCGCTTCTTGATTATAGAATTTCGCTTATTGCGGATGCGCAAACGCTCGAGGACGATTCCCTTCTATTCGTTGTTGGGTATAATCCGGAAGAATGGGAAGTGGTTCGGGTGGCAGGGGAATATGCCAATGTTGAGGCGACAAGGCTGAATCATGGAGCGAGATCTATTGATTTTTTGATTGACTTGGTGGATGAGGATGGGGTGTATAAGGGTGTTTTGGGGCAGCCTGCTGTGGAGGAGCTGGAGGACGACGCGATTTTGCTTGATGGGGATTATTAGGGGGGTGGCATCACGGTCGAGAGTGGTATTTAGTCTGATTTAGGGGGTTAGTAGCATTAGTTTGAGTGATGGTTTTTGTTCATACGAGTCTTAATATGATCTGGTCTGGAGCAGTATAGTATTCTTACATGTATCCCTTTAAAACCATACCTTTCAGGAGATTTCTGAGTTGATAAAACCCACAATTCCCGGAACTTTCATAAACCGTAGATTCCTGGCTGGTCAGGTGACTCGGGCATCGTTCACGCCTTTGTTTATCTCTTTTGTCCCGCACATTCGTGTTCTCGTTGTTATCATCTACACAAGGCTATCTGCCATGGTCTCTATCTCAGGTCCATGATGAATCTTCTACACCAGCAGACTTATACCGCTCTGAAGACGATACTACCCTGGATGGGCCACGCGTTATACCTAGGTTGAGTATATCAACCATGGTTCAAATTACCTTGTTTCGCCTTCTCTAGAGCTCACTCACCATCCTCTGGCAACTTTACTTGACTTATTGAAGTCACTCAATACGAGATAGAACCCAGGTTTCATCAAAAACTATCATTTGTCTAGTCTCCAAAAGTGTGATCCGGAATGCTCCTTTGTATTTATTTACCATAAAAGTTGAATGAATCACCCGGTGTTCCCCAAGGCATGTCCATCGCGATTCAATAAAGCAATGACAGAGCAAGACGGGAAGTTCCTGACCCTATAATAGACTTGTCCTCGTGTCTCCATAGCTGACCTCTTTCACTGACTTGTATACAAGACAAACTCTGATTGCTTTGTCCTATCCCAATGTCCTGTACTTACATAAGTAGCCCTGTAACACCAACACCATAAACACCACCAATACTATCAAGATGTCTCGTCACAGTCTACCTATATTATCAAAAAATGCCACCTTTACCACCTCCAATACCGAAACATCTTAATTTAATCTGCCTATATTAATAAAACGCACCACCACCCAGCCAAAAAGTGATAGCGAAACTGGCCCCCTCGTCAGCATCTTCTGCACCGATGAATCAATCTAATCAAACATGAACCTACTATTATCCAACCCTACAAACCATCTCCATTTCTAAACTAACAATCTGTCCCACACAGCTTCTTACACAAATCCTCGCTGAAGTATACGATAAGAAACCAGACCCCCGTTCCCTCATCGTCCTATCCACAAACTCCAAACACGCCATCTAACAACTCATCCTCGACTCAGCCATCTCATCCTCCGTAACACCATTCATATCCCCATTCCTCGATATGATGGAAACTGATGTGGCAGCATTTCTTGCCCGGACGTGTGTAGGGAGTGTTATCAGTAACAAGGTCTTTTATATCGCGGATGATTGAACCGCTGTGACCGGAAATCTGTAAATGATTTTCATGTACTCGAATGATCCATGGAATTGGGTATTGTCTCTAATAAGATGGGAATATGCAAATGCTATGGCTGTGGGGATGCAGGATCCTGAAAAAATGGGGGAGAAGGTATTGTCTCTGATTTTGAAGGGGTATTATGAGAGTCAACAGCTGGAGTTACTATATTGGGGTGATGTGCTGTAAGGTCCTCTTGTCAGGATGAGTGTTTGATTAAGATATATAGGATGGTGTTGATTGGTAGTTACTTGCTTTCTCGTATCTACTTGATATTTCGGAGAAATAAATATATAGTAATACTGGACTTGTTGATCTTGAATATTATTAGATGAAGTCATTCTGCTTTACTTATGAAAGTTCACTCCCCACTACTCCACGTGTATCTTGAAGAAGTGCACTGAATCCTCCACATCTATAATCTATTTAGCCAAGACATCATGAAATCTGCCTATCAATAAAGAACGCGGAATTTTCTCCCACGCCGGACAACCAACCAATTGGTTGGAACAGTAATCGCCATCTCCACATCCAGTGCCAAGGCCAGGGTCTGATTCGCCAAGCCGTGACTCGCCTGGTATCTTATCTATTGCCTTGTTTACCGCCCTTGGTTCATCCCAATCAGCTGACCTCTGCCTCTTACCTTGCGGCTCTTTAACTCCTAACCCCACCACCAAACACCTCTACCTACCCTCTAAGCACCAAGCACCAGTAAACCCAATCTCTCAACATGATAATCCCTACCAACATAACCTGGTTCCCCTTTACTGACTACGCAAACCTACCCCTCACCTTCCTCTCCGGATCAACCTGGACCCTCGAACAAAAAATCCAAGAACAGGAAGATATCTACGATTAACTTGACCATGAAGAAGGAAAAATCATCTCTGAAGTACGTGCAGTATTCACAGTATGCAAACTTGCTGGTGAAGGTCCTTCCATTGCAGTGGTTAAGATCCATATGTAGTACGTACATACTTGTCCTTCATTAAGTATATGGATTTAATAACGGGTGTAGGGTATCTTGGTAGGGAAGTTTTGACCAAAATGCCTCAGTTTGAGCTAAGCAGGCGGTTACGGAAACGTCAGCTAGAAGTGAGATAGAGGTTGAGGCACTTGAGATATTAACTAGGATGGGGTGTTCAAGTATGCCGGGTTTGATTAATTCAATGCAAAGAAAAGCAGAGTGAGGGGTAGTGGGTTCCTGGTAGGTTTGAATGTTTTGTAGTGATGGGGGTGGTTCTGGGGGTTAGGGTGGCTGATGTGTGGAATTTTATGGGGGGTGTTGAACGGGAGGAGTTGAGGGGGGCGTTTAGAAAGGCGTGGGTGTAGGTTTTTTTGTATTTTTTTTTTGGAGATGAGGACTGACTTGGTGGGTTTTAAGGGAGTGTACGGCTTGTGGGGTGGTTAGTATGGATTATAGGATGCAGAATATTCTATGAGATAGGGGGGTGAAGAAATGGTTTGTTTTCTTGCATGGACTATGATCTGGATTGAGATAATGAGGCTAATCTAGTTGGTTTATTAGTTACTTAATCGATTGGAAGATACACCATTCTGCAAATCAGAGGGATATGACTTGAAATGATCGCACTTATCTCAGGTAGGGCTTAGCATGTATAGGGGAGTTCAGTGATGATAATGATATATCTACTTGGATACTATAGATTGGTTTATAGAAGGCTCGTGAATGTTTATACAGAGATAACTAGGTCTAGTCCAAGCATGGACCATGATCACTATCTTCTATATACTTATAGTCATATACTTTCAGCTATATAAGTCTATTCTATTTACTCGCTGTTGCTGTTGCCGTTGCTGTCTATTACAGGAGTATAATCTCCGGATTTCTTGGAAAAGTTGTGTCCATGTAGGTTGCCGATCGATCCCCAGACTTTATACTCATCGGATAAGCTTAATATTTAACTTGGTATTATTCTCTATCCTTAAGTTGAATGCCCACTTCCCGCAATTCTCTCTACTTAAGCTCGTAAACCGTAAACGGTAAAAGGGCCGGTGTCAATCCCAGCTAAAATAGCACGGACACGGTAGGTATCCCCACCATAACCCTTTCACTAGCCTAATAATGGACCCACCTACCGCTTTATCGTTGATTATTCGAATCATTATATATTAATATTTTATACTGTACTTGGAAGCCCATCAGGGATAATCGCGGAAGAGTAAGAAAAACATGATGTTTCTTGATTTGCTTTATAATACTCTATTCTTAAGATTATCCATGAGCAGAGTTTGCTTTTGTCTAGAGGCATGATACGTGGGATTCTTTAATATTAATGTGACTGGTAGTTACCTTGGGTTGGTACCATCGGGGCTATATAACTAGTAAATTATTAGCTTGGGGGGGTGCTGTCGTGGCAAGTCAAAATGAACTGAAATAGGTTATGAAATGATACCCAGAAATATTGAAGCCTGGTTATGGAGATAAACAGGAATAACTAGCATACCGGCTTTCTGATATCCTAGATTATAGTATCCATATTGACATATCATCATAGTTTACAAATTCGCCTGGCCGTGCGAGGTTTCAAGTAATGTATTTGATGAGACGGCCGTTCAACACAATATGAGGTCGTATTGGTGCTAACTACTCTAGAACTTCAAACGTGAGGGGAAAAAACAGAAACACGAAGTGTTGTGGGCCTCGCTTCATACAACACTGGCAATATAAAGGCAAACAGGACAAACAGCATGACATAAGCGTCACGTGATAAATGAGTCCGCCGCCGTCACATCATCCCCCCGTTTAGGCCTGTCCTTAGTCAGGAGAACATTGTCATCCTCATGATCTGGTGCAAATTCATCATTTTCCGCGGCAGTAATCTATATAGGGAGTTGTTTAAGTGGCCCTGGACAAGACAGGTAGCGGGTATAGAAATTATATAGATAGAAAGAGATATTCTTTAAATTCCTAGCTGGATATTACTCGTGATTATTCTCATCAAATCCCAGTTATTTAACTTAGTATTATAGTATGCCTGCCTGTAGACAGCTTTCCAGAATCTGTTCTATTTTCTATTCAGTATGATCATCTATCTTAATCAAAGCAGCCTGATCTAAGATCTGCTTTAGTAATGGTTCCAGGGTGCTACACAGTCAAAGCTTATTGTTACAGACCCCTGCTAGCTGAACGAACTAGTAAGGCGGACACGTTAGGCAGAAGGCCACGTCCGGAGAGCAAGGACTCTTATCGAGTAGAATCCCGATCGGAGCAGCCTACAAACCGGGACGGTTACACAACACGTGACCACGACGGACATGTCACTGACACGCTATAACATGGCAGCGCTACGACAGGACATGGCAGCGCTACGACAGGACATGGCAGTGCTACAACATAACATATCAGCGACATGACATATCATGGCAACGCCATGATAAAGGATAGGATATAAGGACACTCTTTCATGTACTTAGCTAGTTCTGTTCTTCGTGCTCAATTCAAATTGTCTTTAAGTAACCTACGTTTTAGTAGAGCTTAGCAACAACACTCGTCCGCACTTACTTACGGATAGCTACACGGCACTATCTGGCCTTACTTCTCTTCTTCTATTCAAGATCAAGTCACCTTTAGATAGTCAACAGCCTGACTACCTTTGATTCAGTTCATAAGATACGTATCGGAACGGGAGCTAAGCTAACAGGAACAGGAAG